TCCAGGACAGGCTCCAAAACAATACAGAGAAACCCTGTCTCAAAAACAAACAAATAAACAAACAAAAAAACATATGGCAGAATGTAGATTAGTAGAAGCAGGTTAATTAAGTTAAAAGGGCTAGTTGGCAACAAGCCTAAACTCAAGGCCTCCATGTCATTATTGGGGACTTCTTCTGAACTACAAGGTCACCAGGCATACATGTGTTGCACAGCCATACATCCAGGCAAAAGGCTCATAGGCATCATACAAACATAAATTCAAAAATAAGCATGATATAAATGGCTGAGGAACAACTAAAAAGGTCAACATCCTTAGCCTCAGGGAAATGCAACTTAAAACTATCTTGAGAATGCATCTTAAGCCAGTCAGAACGCTAACCAAGTGTTGACAAAAATCCGGCATGGATGAGAGGGAAGAGGATCACTTACTCACTGCGGGTTGGAGTGAAAATGGCTCCGCCGCTATGGAAGTCAGTGTGGAGGCCCCCTAAAGCTGTAGATCTGCCACACGATCCTGCTATACCCTGTGTATACACCTCTGGTGGTCTGGATAAGAATGGCTCCCATAGGTTTATGGACTTGAATGCTTGCTCTCCTGTTTGGGGAGGGTTAGCCGGTGTAGCCTTGTTCCGAGAAGTGTGTCCTCAGCGGGCAGGCTTTAGGATTTCAAAAGCCCTTGCCGTTCTCAGAGCCTGCTGCTTGTGTATGAAGATGTAAGGGCTCAGTTTCTGCTCTAGAACCTTGCTTTCCTGCCTGTTGCCATGCTCCTGACCGTCATAATCACGGACCCTAACCCTCTTAACCTGTAAGCCACGCATGAAATTCTTTCTTCTATAACTTGCCTTGGCCATGGTGTTTTGTGACAGCAATAGGAAAACAACAAAGGTAACACCTTAAAAGACTCTATATCTGGGGCTGGAGAGATGGCTCAGAGGTTAAGAGTACTGCTTGCTCTTCCAGAGGTCCAGAGTTCAATTCCCTCACAACCATCTATGGTGAGATCTGGTGCCCTCTTTTGGCGAGTTGACATATGTGTAGGCAGAACACTGTGTACATAAGAAATAAATCTTAAAAAAAAAAAGACTATATCTTTGGTGGCGCATGCCTTTAATCCCAGCACTCGGGAGGCAGAGGCAGGCGGATCTCTGTGAGTTCGAGGCCAGCTCTGGTCTACAGAGCGAGTTTTAGGACAGGCTCCAAAACAATACAGAGAAACCCTGTCTGGAAAGAAAAAAAAAAAGACTCTATATCCTACCTACCATAGGCACACATGTTTACCCTTGTCCATTGCTGATCTATTATTCACAGTAGCCTGGAAATAATCTAGATGTCCATCAGTCGATGAATAGATAATAATAATGTAATACATACTTTAAATAAAAAATTAACATGTATGGACGTTCTGCTTGGGTATATGTCTGCCCACCATGTGTGTGCCCGGTGCCCATTAAGGCAGAAGAGGGGTGTGGGATCCCCTGGAACTGGAGTTATAGATTGCTGTGAGCAGCCGTGTGTGGGTGCTGGGAGCTGAACCTGGGTCCTCTGGTAGAGCCGACAAGTACTCTTAACTGCTGAGGCATCTCTCCAGGCCCTCTTTCCCCCTTTTACAGCACTGACACATGTATGACTCACAAATGATGGCTTTCCCCCCTCCGTTTAAGACAGGCAGCATCTATTAGAGGAAATTTATTTGTCGAATGGTCATAACACATTTTTTTTATTTTGGCTTTTACGAGACAGGGTTTCTCTGTATTGTTTTGGAGGCTGTCGGTCCAGCCTGGCCTCGAACTCACAGAGATCCACCTGCCTCTGCCTCCCGAGTGCTGGGATTAAAGGCGTGCGCCACCAACGCCCGGCTCATAACACATTCTTTAGAAGAGGACTGTTCAAAAGAGGACCCTAAGAAAGACACATGGCCCTGTCTAGGAAGGGGGAAAAGATAAGATTTCCTGAGTAAGTTGGGAGCTTCTGGGGTAGGGGAGAGGGTAGAAGGGGTAAGGGAGGAGGGACAGAGAATTGGGAAAAATGTGTAGCTCAATAAAAAAAGATGTTAAGAAAAATAAAGTATAAAAAAAGAGAAGAGGCCTATTCAAGTTGGCTCTCATGGCACACACCCCTGGAGGGTGGATCTCTGTGATTTAGAGGCCAGCCTGGTCTACATAGTGAGTTGAGGACAGTCAGGGCTACATGGTGGGACCCTGACTCAAAAAACCAAAATAAATAAATAAACAAATAAATAAATAGGGCAGTTCAAAAGAAAATTTTCAGGATACAAATGATATGTTTTGAATCTTCTAATTACAAATGTTAAGAGGAAAACATCATGAAATAGAATAAAAAGTTCATAAAATAGCCCAGTGTGGTGGTGCATGTCTTCACTCCTAACACTAAGGAGGCAGGCAGACAGATCTCTTGAATCCAATGCCAGCCTGGTCTACAAAGGGAGTTCCAGGAAAATCCAGGGTTACCTACAAAGATCCTGTCTCAAGAAATAAACCAAACCAAACAAAATATATCTAAAATAAACATTTTTGTTTAATTCATTAGTTAATTAAATTTTTATTAATTAAATGTATTTGTTTATTTTACATCCCAACTAAAGTTTCCCCTCCATCCTCTCCCCCCATTTCTTCCCCCTCCATCCCCCCTCAATCCACTTTTCCTGTGTTTCTGTTCAGAAAGGAGCAGGCCTCCAATGGGTTTCAACAAAATATGGCATACCAAGTTGAGGTAGGACTAAGCCCCTCCTATCCCATAGGCTCCTGGAGATCAAAGATTGCTAGGAGTCTTAGCTGGAGTCATCCTTGTAGATGGGAGTTTCCCTTGTACCAGGTTACTACCTGACCCCAAAATGCCCTTCCCCGTTTACAGTCATCTCTTTCAGTACTCTCTCCCTCCATTCACCCCCCAATCCAATCCCTCATGTTCTCATCTCCACCTGGCTCCAGCCCACCCATGAGATCTCTTCCATTTCCCCTTCTCTGGGAGATCCATGCATCTCCCTTGGGTCCTCCTTGTTTCCTAACCTCTCTGGATCTGTGGATTGTGGCATGGTTATCCTTTACAGCTAATATCTACTTACAAGTGAGTACATACCATGTTTATCTTTCTGGGTCTTGGTTACCTCACTTAGGACAGTATTTTCTAGTTCCTTCCATTGCCTTCAAATTTCCTGATGTCATTGTTTTTAACAGCTGAGTAGCGATCTGTTGTGTTAATGTACCACATTTTCTTTATCCATTCTTTAGCTGAGGGCCCTCTAGGATGTTTCCAGATTCTGGCTATTCTGAATACAGCTTTTATGGACACAGTTGAGCAAGAGTTTTGTTGACAGAAGTTTCTGTCCTGCCTGGTCCCCCACAGTCCTTTAGTCCCAAATAAACACACAGAGGCTTCTGTTAATTATAAACTATTTGGCCAATGGCTCAGGCTTCTTATTGGCTAGCTCTCTCTTAGTTATTAACTCATTTCTATTAAACTGTCTGTTGCCACAAGGTTGTGGCTTACCCATAATGTTCTGGCATATTACTCCTTCAGCAGCTACATGACATCTCACTGATGCCTTATTCCTTTTCCCTGCAATCTTCTAGTCTGGTTGCCCCTCCTATCATTCCTGCCTGGCTACATCCTGTCTGTTCTTAGGTTGAAACATTTATTCATCAACCAATAAGGGAAACATATATTCACAGCATACAGAAGGACATCCCCCATTATGTCCTTGTGATATGACTGAGCATCCTTTAGGTATATGCTGGGTCTTGGGGTGGATTAATTCCCAATTTTCTGAGAAACTGCCATATTGGTTTCCGAAGTGGCTGTACAATAATTAATTACTTTTACATCCTGATCACAGTTCTCCCTCCTCCCAACCTCTTCTCCTACCCCTGTGCCCCCCATCCTCTCCACCTCCATTCTTGTTCAGAAAAGGGCAGGCCTTCCATAGATATCAACAAAACATGACATATCAAGTTGCAGTATTAAATTTGGGCAAGGCAATCTAGTATAAGGATTAGGGTCCCAAAAGCCAGCAAAAGAGTCAGAGAAAAGCCCCTGCTCTCACTATTAGGAGTCCCACAAGAAAGACCAAGCTACACAACTCTCCCATATATGCAGAGGGCCTATGTCAGTCCCATGCAGGCTCCCTAGTTGTCAATTCAGACTCTGTGAGCCCCTGTGAGCCCAAGTTTGTTACTGGAGTTTCTTTCCAGCCTGGTCCTGCTGCTGTTTTTGCCCCAAATAAACATACAGATGTTATATTAATTATTAAACTGTTGGCTGATAGCTAGGGCTTCATATTGGCTAGCTTTGTCTTAATTATTAACCCAGTTCTATTAATCTATTTATTTCCACATGGTCTTGGCTTACTGGAGAATGCCAGGAACTTTTACTCCTTTGTGGTCTACATGGCTTTTCTTTGGTGGTGGCCCCTGTCTGCCTACTCCTGGTCTATAATCCTGCCTATGCTTTCTCTCTGGCAACTGACCAGTGTTTTATTCATCGTCCAATAAGAAACATATATACAGAAGGACATCCCTAATCACAGCTTAATTGATGCTGTGAGTTTGCTTGTGATGTCCATGACCCCTCTGGTTCCTACATTTCTTTCTCACTCTCTTCAGTAGGATTCACCAAGCTCAGCCTAGTCAAAGTATCGAATTGTAAAGTCTGTCTGTCTATCTGTCTGACGTTGTATGTGTGTAGGACCATATATTCAAAATGTGTGTGGTGTCATGGCACTCAGAGTTTAACATGACCACTTTTTTTTTGCAAGCTCCGAAGTCTTATAATTTATATGGACAATACATATGAAAATTATTGAAATTGTATGGATGTACTTTTTATTGAGACAAAATATTAAAAATCTAACAATTGAAAAGGTACAACTTGTGTGAATTTTAACTTGAACCATATCAAGGATTCAAGAGCCACACAGCTTCAAACTTAGCACACAAATCATTAGAGAGACCTGTTTGTTGATGAGGATGTCTGGGCCTCGTATCAGCCACCGAATGCTCTTTGAAAACAGATAATTCTCGGTGTTGACAAAGAAGAAATAAACTGTGAAATTATTCTATTATTGCTCATCAATAAAAAGGGGCAGAGAGTGGGGTAGAATGATGACACAATTATAACGACTGCCCCCAATGTTGGCTTTCTTTCACCTGTATAAAATCCACAAAGGGTGATGAAGTTGTTCAACAAATAAAAGAACACAAAACAGCTCACCAGCAATAAGATGCTGTGAGTGGCTCTGCGTTCAGGAGATGGCTGGCTGGAGAGGCTTGGGTTGTGGAGATGCCGGGTTATTCTGCGGTGTCTGTAAAGGAGAGACACCATGTAGAGGCTGGTCCATATCATGATGGTCATAAAGAAGATGTCTCCTATTGTGATAATACTCAGGAATAATCCTTGTTTGGGGTAATTAGGTAGTCTTTTACAGTAAGCATGAGAATATCCATAATCAATATTAGTGTCATTGATTTTCGCCATCACAGTCTCAATGATGTGCACATATATGAGCAGCTTGACAAACCAGGAAAACAGGAAGGAGCAAAACATCCACATAGGGAGTTTAGGCTTAAGCCACGCCCATTTAGAATAACTGGGAGTGATGGTGATGGCTTGGAATGTGCTCAGAATAGAGGTGGTGCAGATGGACAGACCCCGGGTGACTCTGAACACATATAAAACTGCCTTACAGCCAGCATCATTCAGAAAATATCTGACTCCAAAGGATGACATGATATGCGGTAGCATAGCAAATATGATCGTCAATATATTGACTACCATCAGGTGCATGAAAATGGGATCGATAGGTCTGCTGGAGCGAGCTTTGACTAAGAAGCCATACGCATACAGCATGAAGAGCAACCAGTTCCCTATGACACCCAGGCAGAGCTGGGATATCAAGAAACCCACCAAGATGGTGTTGCTTGGCAACATCACCTCAGCGATGCTTGAGATATGATTAGGTTTGTCAGGCTTCCAGTGAAAACTAAGCGGACTGAATTATAAAATTACATACTGATGTTTGTGGGAAAATAAGCTGATCAACAGTTCAGGAGGAGAGAAGGTCAGAGAAAGGTCAAACTCCTTTGTTTTTGCGGTTCCAGATGTGGTACTCTGGGAACTGCATTCCAGGGAGTCTTGAGAACCTCAGAGGTTAGAAGGTGTTGAAGCAGCAGGTGGGCTCAATGCAAACATCTTCTGAGCTCTGTTAATTGCCTGAATGGCGAATTTTCATGTTATAAAGAGTTTTTATTCAGTAGATCTTGCTGTGTATTTTAAAAGTCCTATTTGAGAGTTCTGACCTTTCCCAAGGACACTACTATGAATACTTATATATCTTTAGAGTTCTGATTGCATGCAAAACTCCTCCTTTAAATCCTTAACAAAGAGGCTACAGAGTTGGCTCAGTGATTAAAAGCACTAGATGGTCTTCCAGAGGACCCAGGTTCGAGTCCTAGCACTTGGAGGCTCACAACTGTTTGTAACTCCAGTTACAGAGAATCTGATGCCTGCATAAACATACACATACAGGTAAAACATCTTTACACATAAAGGAAATGAATAAATTAAAAAAGCAATTTTCCACAAAAGTAGATTTTCCATTTGTGTTTTCTTTCTTTCCTTTTTTTTTTTTTTTTTTTTTTTGCCAGCCTTGGTCACTAGCAAATTTCTGAAGCATTTTAGAGGCACGGCCCCTCAGTTCTACTATACATACCCTGGTGTTGAGCACATTCTCAGAGAAATACATTTTTCTGTCATTATTCCTATTATTTGCAGGAAATGAACAGAAAGAACGGCGGATCATTGTGTTAGGCAAAATAAGGTAGTCTCACAAACATAAACAGCATATGTGTTCTCACATGTGGGATCTGACAGAGAAATCTACAAACCCAACAGGGAGACCCTTAGCTTGAGAACCTCAGAGGACACAAGGTGTTGAAGCAGCGATGGAGGTTGGAGCCGGGCATGGTGGCACACACCTTTAAAACCAGCCCAGCCTGGTCTACAGAGTGAGTTTCAGGACAGGCTCCAAAACTACACAGAGAAACACTGTCTTGAAAAAAACAGAAAAGAAGAAAGAAACGGGGCTGGAGAGTGATACACAAGGGAACAATGGGAGAATATAAACACAGTCACGTGTGCGCGTGTAAGTAGATGTCATAAGAAAATATACAAGCATGGTGTGCATTTGTCAAGAAGACCTCATAAAGCATGAATAAATCATGAATAACAACAACAACAGGCTGGAGAGATGGCTCAGAGGTTAGGAGCACTGGCTGCTCTTCCAGAGGTTATGAGTTCAATTCCCAGCAACCACATGGTGGCCTGCAACCATCTGTAATGAGATCTCATGCCTTCTCCTGGCGTACAAGCATGTGCACAGATTAAAAAAAAACTGCATGCATAATAAATAAATATCTTTTAAAAAGTTCTTTTTAAAAAAACAACAACAGCAGCAAACACTAAGTGGACTAAACAGACTAAACGTGTGCGTTTATTTATTTATTTATTTCAAGACAGGGTTTCTCTGTGTAGCCCTGGCTGTCTTGGAACTCACTCTGTAAACCAGGGTGGCCTGGAACTCATAGAGATCTGTCTGCCTCTGCCTCCTGAGCCCTGGAATTAAAGTCATGTGCCACCACTGCCCGGCATATATTATGTTTCCTATTATATTTCAAATATGTCATATGTCATTACCCAAACATCCCATCATTGCAGCTAATTTGACAAAAACCACAACCATATCAGAGGTCCTTGCTGGGCACAGTTACATTGTGTAAATACTGACCATAGCTCCAGGGCTGAAAGGAGCATTAGACAGGAAGTCTTTACTGCATTGCACAAGCTGTATGAGATTTAGCTAATGAAAGTGCAGGCAGTTTAGGTAGAAAAAGACCAGCCTGGTCTACAAGAGCTAGTTCCAGGACCGGCTCCAAAGCTACACAGGGAAACCCTGTCTTGAAAAACAAAACACACACACACACACACACACACACACACACACACACACACACACACACAGAATGACAAAGGGGCTGGGGTGATGATTATGGCTCAGTGGTTAAGAGCACTGACTTGGGTTCAGTTTGCAGTACCCACACGGCTGCTAACAACCGTCTGTAACTCCAGTTCAAGGGGATTTGACCTCCGAGGCACCAAACACACGGTGCACAGATATACATGCAAGCAAAACATCCGGACACATAAAATAATGATACCAGTACTTGTGAGGTAGAGGCAGGCAGATCTCTGAGTTCAAGGACAGCCTGGTCTACAGAGTGAGTTTCAGGACAGTCTCAAGCAAACGAACAAACAAATAAAATACAGTGAACTTGGGATGGAGACGGGATAGGAGTTAGAACGGGAGTAGGTAGGAGGCTGTGGTGAGTGCAAAAAATCCAAATATATTGTATAAATGAGCCGGGCGTTGGTGGCACGCCTTTAATCCCAGCACTCGGGAGGCAGAGGCAGGCGGATCTCTGTGAGTTCGAGGCCAGCCTGGACTACCAAGTGAGTTCCAGGACAGCTTCCAAAGCCACAGAGAAACCCTGTCTCGAAAAACCAAAAAAAAAAAAAAAAAACCAAAAAAAACCAAAAAATTGTATAAATGTCTGAAAATTTCAAATAAAGAATAAAAATAGTAAAAAAATTCTTTTTAAAATATTTACTTATTTTTATTTCATTTGTATTGGTGTTTTGCCTGCATGCATGTCTGTATGAGTGCGTCAGATCTCCTGGAACTGGAGTTACAGACAGTTGTGAGCTGCCATGAAGGGTGTTGGGATTTGAACTCAGGTCCTCTGGAAGAACAGTCAGTGATCTTAACCACTTAGCTATCTCTCCAGCCTACAAAATATTTTTCAACTAACCAATAGAAATACATCACCTTAAATAATGTCACACAAAGAAACTGATAAGGGAGCAGGATTACTTATATAAGCAGTCCCTTGCCTGTTTCTCTCTCTCTCTCTCTCTCTCTCTCTCTCTCTCTCTCTCTCTCTCTCTCTCTCTCTCTCTCTCTCTCTCTCTCTCCCCCAAGACAGGGTTTCTCTGTGTAGCCCTAGCTGTACTGGAACCAGCTCTGTAGACCAGGCTAGTCTCGAACTCACAGAGATCCACCTGCCTCTGCCTCCCTAGTGCTGGTACTAAAGGCATGCGCCACCACTGCCTGGCCCCTTGTCTTTTTTTAAACATTCAAATGGTATCTTTTATCTTCTTTTTTAAGTTAAATGCATATTTTTTAATTTGGGGGATTAAAGATAATTAAATCAATTCACCTTCCCTCCCTCCAAACCCAGATCTCTGTGAGTTCGAAGCCAGTCTGGTCTACAGAGTAGCTCCAAGTTAGCCAGGGCTGCGCCCATATGCTCACATGCTCACGATCTCTCTCTCTCTCTCTCTCTTTCTCTCTCTCTCTCTCTCTCTCTCTCTCTCTCTCTCTCTCTCTCTCTCTCTCTCTCTCTCTCTCACACAGAGTTAGGGCCCAGCTGAACTGGGTGTGGTGGGGCACACCTTTAACCCCATCACTCAGGAGGCAGAGGCAGGTAAATCTCTGAGTTCGAGGCCCGCCTGGTCTACAGAGTGAGTTTCAGGACAGTTGGGGCTACATGGAGAAACCCTGTCTCTAAAAACAAACAAGCAAACAAACTAAAATGTTTCAGTAACTGCAAAACCACAAATATTTGCTACAAGATTATATTACAATCACCTATGCAACCATTTTTGGAAAGTATGGATGAAAGGGCAAATTTCTCTGAGCTCTAATTTCTATTGTAAGATTTTAGAATTATAGAAAGAAATAAGTCCAATGTTCCTCAGGAAATCGAATCATTGTCTGTGACATGAAAATAAATGAAGGGAGGAAAATAGCGAAACAATCATGGGTTAAAGACAAGGACTGTTAAAAAAAAACACAAAGAAAGATACAATTGATCAACTAAAAGAAAAGCATGAGACAAATCTGAAAAAACTGTAAGTCTAAGACAGGATAGAACCGAGAAGGGGAGCAGTGCGGTTAGCATACCTCTCCCTTGTTCTGAGCGCTGTGTACTGGGAGCCTTCCTCACGGCAGGGTGAATTCCACAGACATGATGCATCTTGGAAAAGCTGCCTAGCAGAACCCATGACTAAATCAAGGGCAGCATGACGACAGGACTCTTCCTCCCAGTGGACATGAGGCAGCTTGTCACCTGTGGTGCCAATGACCTTGTTTTCTGTGCCTCATCTGATGCACCCAAGAGGAAAACATCTATCTCCCAGACGCAACTGGAATCTCAGATAACTTTGACAGACTGAGTGTAAAGTCTGTATGTGAAGACGTGCGTTTTCCCAAGATGAACTCCACCTGAAAGTAAACTTGAGGACTGAGGTGTCATTAAAAGTTTTAGGACAGTGGTGGCAATTATCACAGCTGTTGGAACAAGCTGAGCTCTGAGCAGGGCTACAGAGACCATTTGCCCTGCTTCATTGGAGGCGATTGTGCCTTTTTAAAAAAACAAAACAAAACAATTTATTTAATTTTATGGCATTGGTGTGAGGGTTTCAGATCCCCTAGAACTAGAGTTGCAGACAGCTGTGAGCTGCCATGCAGGTGCTGGGAATTGAACACAGGTCCTCTGGTAAAATAGCCAGGGCTCTCAATCACCGAGCCATCTCTCCAGCCCCGTGCCTTCTGCTCTTACGGTGAGTGTATTTTAAGGTTCCACACAGAACATGACAGCACACTAGGAGTTTTATCTGGACCACATAATAGGTGGATTAGTCACAGCTGTATCGCATGTTTTGCTGAAGAATAGTTTTACTGTGAGATCGCTCAGTTTTGCAAAACAGACACTAGTTACACTGCCTTCCGAATAGTTTTGACTATTCCCACAGACAAGTCCTAATGCAGCCTGCGTCAGAGAAACTTCTTGTCAACAGAGGTGGATGGCTGATATAGATATTCATAAATATTCAAAG